TAATCACCATCAAACTCATACAATTTCAGGTATAATAACATATTTGTAGAATGATGTAATAAATTATTAATACATAAAACCTGATACTGGACAACCAAATAACGTAGTACATAATGGTTAAACACATCTACTTTGTCCAGTTTAATCGTGTATGGACCAATGTTTAGCTCTGTGTCCGGCCAGTATTTTAGACACTTCATCTGGAAAAGGGTAAAAATGCTCTCATTTACAAGGTCATATACATTGAAAGACGTACTTGTACCTTAAGGATAAAAATAATACATGTACATGTAACTAAAAGATTTTCATATATCAATCATCTTGATTTTATTTTATGAGATCATTTGCTATCATCTATGAACGTTTTATAGTAATAATGATGACCTTCATTTTAACCCCTTCGCATAGACTGGTCAGCATAACTATTTTGGTGGTGTTTTCCTGCCATATAATAGTCCAGAAATCTTCTAATGTCTTTGGATTGAAAGGACCTATTCACAAAAGCTTAATGATAGAACATATATTTCTTTTTTTATTATTAAATCAATCATATTCAATTAAATCATTCATTTTCATTTCAATTATGATTATATATACAAGATCATTCACAATAACTTCATATGCATTCAATTTACTAAAAGGAAGTACTTGTATGAAAATTAATTTCATCAGATTGATTATCTTTTTCATAAATTGCTGAAAGTTGAAGACATCTGTACTTTGAGGAAATATAGTTTTATTTTCATAAATAAACTTAAATGAACCTTGTGCAGCTATATAGGCTTGTTCCTTGTTAAAACCCTAGAATCAAATATTGAAACATGTACAGAAATATACTGCAACAAACAAATAAATTCTTCCTTTATCGTTAATGTCATGTAAAACGTGAGGGGAAAAAACGGTTGATTTTTTTTTCATTTTTTTAAGCGTATAAGGCATGTTATGGAATATATAATACTGACATGAATGTACGAAGCATTAACAAAATCATTGTCTTCATTCGCTCCTGTTCTGACCAACTTTACACGATTATAGTCATCTGAAAAATGAATGTAGGTTACATAAAATCACAAATCGTTGGATACCCATGGGTGATTGATCACGTCTAAAGGACGAAAATCAAATATTGCAATCAATATCAATTGAATAAAGAATTTGATTTAACTCACAGGGATAGATTCCTTTGTATCGGTTCCCCTTCCTGTTCGAATTTTCTAGTGCGTCCGAGTAAGATTCCAATAATCCATTTGGAAGGTCCTATTATCAAAAGGTAATTCATTCGTTTGATTTATAAGTCGATTTAATAGTTCAATACTTTTTAATTTTTTTATACCTGTTTTATCCTTGAACCTTGAAATTATTTTCAGCATGATTTTCTTGCGCTCGACTTAAGTTTTAACTTTGAGTGACATTTGGATGTCCCTCAAAACCGTATGTCACTCATAAAAGAGATTGCTAAATTATGATTGTACCAGTCTGTAAAAGTTTTACACACATTAAATACAATCAAAAAAGACAATATTCAACATTAAATTTAAGAAAAACTAAATTGTCTAACGTACATCAAATTCTTTCTCTAGTATACCACTGCACTTTTTTTCTGGTATTTCCCTTATAAATTGTTTTAAAGAGATCCTCTGTGACGTCAGATTAGAATACTCTACGACAATGATTTCCTCTTCTACATATCCAGCCTCGTTTTGAGGAATCTCCTCTAGATCCGACTCATTTCTCGACTCTGATCTCTGAAGATTTATGGATAAGCCACTTTCCCTTTGTATGTTATTTTTTTTCTTTTTTCCTCCTATTACGTTGAGAAACATTTCAAATAAAGCATTAAAATATTGAAATAAACGAAAATGCAAAGGGAATACCGGTACTAAGAATCTGAAAAAAAATTATTTTAATTGCTAGCGTATATCTATATCAAAATTGAAAAATATCTAAAAATAATCACTTTTATTCGTAAATTTTGTAAACTATAAATTAAAATACAAAAATAAAAATTTAGAAGCCATGATTATGTTTATTTGCATCATATGCATAACTTTTGTTTAAGCACAGCATAAGATAAAATATGATTATATACATTGTGCAATTATCAAATCTGTATCGTTTTTTAATTTATTTAAATATACTTTAAAATCGGCTGTTAAATTGCCAAAATTTATTCAAATTTTTTAGGATATCAAAAATACGTTACTTTGATACGAAGAGAAAAATAAAAACCAGGAGTAATAAAACAGCCAACGCACTCAGCACGACCAGGAGCATTTGGAAGCGATTTGAATCCACATTTTCATCTCTGTCTTTAAAAAAGAAACACGGTTGTACCCTAATATTTTGTGTAATAAGAAGGGACGAATTATGAACATCAGAGAAAGTTTACAATTTCTTTATATTCTGATATATTTATCAGCACGACCAGGAGCATTTGGAAGCGATTTGAATCCACTTTTTCATCTCTGTCTTTAAAAAAGAAACACGGTTGTACCCTAATATTTTGGCAATTCAAGCACCTAAAAAATGTCATGCATACATAAAGGCTTGTGTTTAACATTAAGGATAAGTGCCCGATCTAGAGAAAAATCTTGAAAACTTTATAGTATCGTTCCTTCAGAAATGTACGTAAACACAAAAAAATTGGCAAGAGGGGTGGACAAGTTACGTTATTTAAAAAAAATTAATTGCGTGGGTTTTTTTTAAAATATCTTAGATACATGTATGTCACTAATGAAATCTGTTATATCAAGAATTGTTTAGAAGTATATTTTGGATAAGTTTTCATACAGTATGACTCAAAATCGCAGAGAAAATTGGGGGTCAATGAACATCTTACTTATCTATGGAACAATTATGTTGACCTTTTTGCACTTAAATTTTTACTCTTTTATTAATCACTTTAATCTTTTTTATATTCTATCAGATAAAACAGTAGTTATAATTTTAATCTTAATTTACGTAAAATAGTTTGAATGATGTTTATCATTTATCAAACATTGCATTTTAATGCGTGTAAATTATTGTCTAATCTTTCTGTACTAAAAAAGTAACATTTTTGGGGGTATTAAAAATCTAAATAGGCAAAAAAATATTTTCTTGTATCAAATTTTTTACGAGTTTAGGACAGATGAAATAAATAAGAAATGAATGCCTGGATTGGTACATATTTTTGACCTAATTTCATTGCAAATGATGCAAATAATACATTTCTAGAATATAAAGAAATTGTAAACTTTCTCTGATGTTCATAATTCGTCCCTTCTTATTACTCTATACGTGATTTTTTTTTATTTTATTCATTATTTATTCATTAAAACATTGCCCAAGTTGTTTTTTTTTTTCAAATTTTTGGTCAAAAGTTTGTCTGCATCATCTGTCCTTAGGTCCTGATCAGTCACAGTCACAGTCACAAGTATCGAGTAGTTTAAAATTATGAAAGAAAAATTTGTGGTCAGTGATGTTAAGCTTTAAATATTTAGTCAAAATATGCAATTTTCAGACAAAAAACGTAAATTTATGTTGACTCCTCTTATATATCTTCATTTTTCGATAACCTTTGTTGAGGGAAGATGTGAAATTTGTTCTAAAAATATGAATGAGACCCATATTCTTAGCATACCATAACGAAAAAATATTCTCCAAGTAAAGGTATGTGAGGTTAAAGTTCCAAGATATTAAATTGCATAAATGTGCAGATTTGCTGAATTGTCTGCAAAATATCCTTCCGTCACAAGAAATGCGTGTAGCCCATCATGAATTTTGCTTCTATGTGAAATTTTGAGCAGTATTTCCATAGAATGTTGAACAATTTATATTGTTTAATTCAAATATAATATAAATATTGAATCATGATAATTAGTTTTGAAGTGAAAGGTTCTCCCTGAACTTTTCTAAAAACCTTCTAGTGATATACCTTAAAGAATGAAGCTTAACCTATGTTAAACGATATAACATAACTTTGGGCAGTTTACGCTTTATAAACCGTGTAGACATTAAGACTTTTTTTTCTTCCTACAAATGGCATATGTTCTAAAACTAACGTCAAGCGATGTAGTACATTTTTGACTTTACTAATATAACGTAGGCAACTTTTGTTATACGATATAAAATAAATCTTTTGTCTATCCAATCAAATGACGTGTTACACTTAAAATTAAATTTAATTAAAGTAAAAGGCAATACCTCTATGTTCGTCTATGGCAACTGTACTAGACTTGTTCTGCTCGTAATTTGAACTGCTTACCGTGTCAGTTCTCTTGTCTTCAACAAAAATGGACATCTTGATAATCAATTGAAATTAAAAAAGGCTGAATGCAATGGAATATAAGAAAACAAATAGTCATCATGTTCATATTCTATAGGAAGCATACAAAATGGGAGCGCTGCAAACACCACATCTGAATTCATCAGTGATGGGATCGACTGCCAAACTGCCATATGCTCCTTTTCATGATGCAGACGATTGAGTGTGAATATCGGTCAATCTCTTTGTAGGAAATTTTCAGTCAATATTCGACTTAATAGTCAATATTCGACTTAATCATAGATTGTTTTGGCTAATAAGATGATTGAATCCACCATAGAATTTACAAGATCGTTAATATCAATCCATGATATTTGTACATTACTTAGTTATTCTAGGTAGAACAGTTGTTTTTTTTTTATTCTGTAGTTAAAGCAAAAATAAATTGATTTCTGTTTATTTTTAGAATACATATGTTCTGATCTTAATTAAACCATTAATTGTTCTGTTCCTATTTGAAATTATAATTACTACATGTGAAAATGAAAGATGTAGAAATGATATACGAACGAAAGGTTAAAATGGCGTTGAAGAGGAATAAATAAAAAGAGAACATAAATTTAATAAATCCTACAACCTGTAGAATTTTGAAGTTCACAGAATTTTCCATGATGTCCATCACTACAGCTATTACATCTTCCTGTCATTTGGTCACATGTCTTAAGGCACGTCGTAGGACATTGATGTTGACAATAATCACCAAACAAAGATCCTCTGCATTGATCGCATACCCCAGATATAGAATGACAGGAAACACATGCCTTTCTGCATTTAGCACAATTTATTCCATAATGATGAGCGGGACAAACTAAAATAGAATTTCATCAAAATTAGCATTATAGAAAATATAAAACAAGTAAATCAAGGAATCTGTCCAAAGAAAAAAAGAAGAGCAAGTGCGGATCTAGATTTGGTGGTAAAAAAATCAAGGTACACCTTGGGCCATTTTTGGCCCTGTGAATTTCTGAAAAATCGGAACTACTTAGTTTTAGGTGAAAATATGTTAAATTTAACTTGTACCCTTGGTGACTTCTTTCAAATAAAAAATATTTGGATCGCGGGGTGGGCTTAATTTTTATCAATAGTTGAAGATGCTCAATTGTACCCATTTTCTTCAAAAATTTGGAACAGTGCAGTTTCACAAAGCCTGAGTTTCCAAACTTGGACTCTCAAAGAAAATTTTTATAGGAAATGAAAGCACCGAGTCTCTACTTTATGTTGATGTTCGAAATGAAACGTAAGGACTTGGTCAGTTAATTGGATTGATTGATTGATTGATTGTATACTGTTTAACGTCCCTCTCCAGAATATTTCACTGATATGGAGACGTCACCATTGCCGGTGAAGGGCTGCAAATTTAGGTCTATGCTCGGCACTTACGGCCTTTGAGCAGGGAGGGATCTTTATCGTGCCACACCTGCTGTGACACGGGACCTCGGTTTATACGGTCTCATCCGAAGGACCGCGCCCCATTTAGTCGTCTTTTACGACAAGCAAGGGGGTACTGAGGACCAATTCTAACCCGGATCCCTAAGGACGTTCGATCCTGTGCTTTTGAGTTGATTTTGGTCTCGACCTTTATTTCTAAAATTCTGCATCATTTTTAAGTTTTAACATTGAATTTAATTTTACAATGCAAACTAAACAATATCCATTACAAAATTCGCAATTATATTCCATTCGAGTAGGATTCACCCTGGAACTATATTTTGTGTCGGAAGATTTAGTTGAAGAAAATTGTCATTTTTTCCTTTTCAACTATATACAGTACTGTTAATTTTAGATTCCTTTTTTCCATGCTTGTTGCATACAGAGCTGTTTTTGCAGTTAAATGTATTATTCATATTCTGAAATATCTATTGATTTATTTCTTATTAATTCTTTCATTTATTATGACAAATATAGTAAATATGTTCTAATAGTCAAGGAAATTATTGAGCTAATTTTAACATAAAATTGAGGCATTTTAGTAATATCTAAATACTTACATCGTATACCCAAACTTTTGATGTTCTTTTCTGAATATTTAATATAACATTGACCTACATGCTTAAATTCTGCAAAAGTTTAATAGATTACTTTAAAATATTTTTTTTGCTTATTAAATATTCAATGCCAGAAAAATCACATTTTGTGAGTTCAGAAAAGTCAAATAATTGATTATGCGAAGTAATTTGAAACTTTTTCTTAGTCACAATTTTAAAGTGTCTTTTTTTTAATAGACTTATAGTTTATTTTGTTCCATGCTTTATTTGGATAAAATATTTAAGGGAAAACGTTGAAGGTGTAATTTTTTATTAAGACACAGATTTAAGTACAAAAAAGGTCATATTTAATGTACTGTAACGCCAAAAGAAGCATATTGACCCCCATATTTTGATTTAATTTTTAATTAAGCTATGTATGTAGAATGTAAAAATATACTTGACAAAAATAAGACTTTCTATACCAGGGGACAACCTCGTTAAGAAAAATTACCTAAAGGATGTACTTCAAACAGTCTAATTGGTCCTTCATCTTTCCTTTTTATTATGATTGAGTTTCCCGTCATTTCTATATCACATTCTACGATATACTGATATTTCTTTGATGGGTTAGGTAAGCTGAACCCTCGGCAAAGAGTCAATTCATCGGAAAGAGTCTGATTTTCAGCTGTTATGTGCAACTCGTAATTCCCTAATTAAATAAAGAATCGAAAGTTAACCATGAATATTGGTAATTCTGATGAAATATTTTAAGGTGTCAGGAATTTCAATGTTAATAAACTAATTTAATACAGTACCTCCTCTCAAGGATATAAGTATCCATCTTATATCGTAGGTTTTTTCCATTGTCATATACCATCTTGCCTTTTTACTTGTATTGTCCTTTGTTACAATATAGGAGTCAAAATTGCCATCAAAAGCATCCTTTCCATTGTGACTTACAGACTGGTTTTTTACTGTAGCCTTTTCTAAAGTTGTAAAATCTAGTGGCGAGAAGGAAAAAAGTTTTTAAAATCATGTCGTTGTGTACAAAAAATGTCCTTACATAAGATAAAAAATTCAAGATTTTTAATTTCTCTAAGTTACATATTCTTCAAATTCCGAATAAATCACATCTCAAAGTAACGTATTTTTCTTTGTAATAAGAAAAAAAGAATAACTAATATACCAAATGATTTGACTTCGGTAATTTGCATAGCACCAGGATCTAATTTTTTAATGATGATTTTGTTTCCAAGCACTTCTCCAGAAGGATTGCAAGTTACGATCTCAGTTTCACTGGTTTCATTGCACTTTTTCTCGATATGTTTACAAGTTCGAATTTTCGATGTGTTTAGTTGCACATAGATATCATATCTGCCTTAAATAAAAGAAAGAAAAGAAAAACAGCAGTAATATATTTTTGCATCGGAAAAATGTATGTCATGGTGTTTAATTTCAACCATGCAAACAAGTGTTTATAGCTATTACAACGTTATTTCTTCAGCTTCATAATATTTCATTAATCAAAATACCACAACTAATGCTGAGAAAAATCCAAAAAATTTGATGAACTCTATCAACAGTCATTGACCACGTCTGGTTTTGGCCGTTCAAAGTAAGAGAAAACGTCTCCATATCGCCATCACAAGCGTTATTTGCATAATGTGATCCATTTGTAGAGGACTGTTGTGCTTCACATCTCTGGCACCCAACTTGTAAACATTCCATATTAAAAATACAACTTTTCAATTGTATTTGTACATAGGATAGGCTCAATTTTTTATCAGATAAAATAGAATTTGACCCATGTGTATCTACAGGTTTTTTTTGTTTAGTATCCTTAGGCAATTTATCATTTGTTTAATTATTCAAATTTTGGGGGGTCGTAAAGACATACCTTTTATCAAGTTTACAAAAAGTAAAGCAGCACAGCAGTAAATCCATAGAATGGAGAGGTTAGACACCGAAATCATCATTTAAAATTAGTTATCTACAAGAATCAATTCATAATATTTGAACAACTCAAAAAAGTTTCCTCCGAAAAAAGATAAAAGCGTTTCCTTGTGTTGACTTTAACAGATTGGCAATGGTTTGTTTCTCTTTTGAAAATATAGCAATATTTGCAAGTACCGGAATACAATGACCACGAATCACAATTTGTAATTTCATATATTTTAGGCACACCATGTCTATTTTAATGCATATAGAATATATACATGTAGACTAGAGAAATTTCCTAATACTCTACTTAAATGCTATTTCTCATTAGTGAATATTTCATTTCCTTGAACACAGAACACATAAAAAAAGATTAGATTTGCAATATTATGTAATATTTCATTGAAATTCAAATTAACTGCTGACTTTAACATTAAATTCAGAACGAAAAATATTTTACATTAAATTACCCGTAGACTCGAAGCATTTGATTTAAAGTAAATTTTAGTTAAAATTCCAAGACTTACAAATTGAAAGAGCATCTCAAAACGATGTAAATATATTATTTAATCGTCAAGACTTCTTCCTGCGATGAAGGAAGCACTTCTTGTGACCTTCAACTCGACATTCAGATATATCGATGACATTTTATCGAGTAATCTTATCAAGTAATAATTTAATTTTGGTTGTAACGCATCATTTGATTGGATAAAAAATTAATGTCAATTCTATAATCTGGTTTGCTTACGTCACAATGACTTATGTCAAAATCGTTTCAATCCGCTTGACGTTACGTTTAAAATATGAACAATTTGAAGGCGTTTTAAAGAGAGAAATTGTTTTGTTTTATATTCTTAATGATTGAAAATTAAAATATAAGGAATGAATTAAATAGCAACCCAAATTATACTGCTATAACCTGGGTTGGAGCAGTTTGCGCTTATTTATAAACCGCTTATATACATAAGTTGAATTCATTTCTCGATAATAGCAATTGAAAATAATTTGCCGTGTAAAAGGTTAAGACCGTAACAGACAGTTCAATCTCTCGATCGTTGTTATGGGTTTGCCAGGGGAATACACGACAGTTGTAAATATGGAATAATTTATCCATAACATGTTTTGGCAACTGTCATTTATGTCTCGGCATAGTCAACTATTAGACAGTGATTCCTTGATAGTTGTCTTCTGATATATCATAGTGACTGTGCAAATACATGTAAATGATGCCATGGGGTCTGCCCATCTGTTTCATATTTGAACGTTAGATCAGTTAATACCTAAACTGTGTGGCATACTAAAAGACATCCACCTTTCAACCATCTGGTTTCCTTATTATATGTAGTAATATTATACAGTACTATCACCTCATTGCGCTAATGTCTTAATGGATACACAAGACCATGTTCTAAAACAAGCTATTGAAATAATTTGATCTAATGTGGTTTTATTCTTTCCAATCTCACTCTGTTCCTTTCGGTCCAAAAACCGATAGGAAAGCTTAAAATGACAATTGCTTTATTAATAACAAATTAGATTTTTTTAATAGGTTTGATGTGCATTTTTTAAATAAATTCCTTAAATCACAAATTTAATCGTTTAATAGTTTACAAAAGTACGAAGTGTACACATTCTAAGAAAAACTTCTCTGTCTTGGATTTCTATAATATACGAGTAACTGGTATACAATTAATATCTCTTCCATTCGATAAAAACCTTACTGGCAACCCAGATATAAATTTAAATTTGAAAATATAGAATATGAATAAACAATAAATTGAATGCCTTTTCTGCAAAACAACCTTGCTGGGAAATATATAGAGCTTTCTTTTTTCAATTGAAAGTTACAAAAAATAATGATAAATATCAAGAACTTTCATCGTGGTAGAAAATCTGTAAGATAAAAGCATCTTCTAAAACAAAATATAATTCAAATTCTAACAAGAAACGTTTGAAATGGCACAGTGACTGGGTGATTCAATAAAAAACAATAGATACGCCCAAAGTCTTTCGTTTTCCTTATTTACAAATGATGCTGCACAGCAGGGAAGACAAGTTCTCATGTAACAGAAGATGCTAGTACTTTGATGGCGACGTATTATTAGATAAAAACTCTTCATAAGATGGCGGTGGTGGTACATTTTCTGTGGTAGAGTGGAAACCACTACTGGATGGGGTGATGAACGTTTGAGAGGTCACCTCTGAATAGGGAGGGGCGGTTGGGGAGGAATATGTGTATCCAACGGTGTAGACATGAGGTGGGCGTGTGTATCCTTGAGACACGTGATCTGAAATAGAGACAAATAAAGCACAAATGTATTTTTCTTACATTGACATTAAAGTAGTATTTATATTTTACCTATTACAATTCGCAACTCAGTCATTTATTTAACTGATTGATCACTTATAGGTCTAGAAAGTCGGCAAGTTTGCAGTGATCTGCTATCCAATCATCAATCAGGAGAGCTTCTGTCACTTTTGAGTTAATTTTAGTCACCTTTGAGTAAACTTTAGGTCACCTTTCATTAGATATTCAGTCACCTTTCAGTGCACTTTTATTCACTTTTCAGTTAACTGAATGGCAGAGTTTCTTCCCGTGCATTTTTCATTTTTTTTTCTGAGGATCCTTTTTTCCTTTATACATATAGTATTATCCTTATCTGACCAATTCCTTTTGTGTCTTGCTGCCTTTTATAAAAACTTTTCTTTCTGTCATTGATGGTACAGTGTATGTAGCTTTGTCGCGTCCATATTAAAAAAAAAAATTGTAGTCTACTTCATGTAAGTTACATGTAACTCAAACAATAAATTTGAACAACTCACTTGTATTTCCACCCCCAGGACTTATCACGGCGCCATGCTTCTTTGTTTTACAGAATTTGACACAAACGACGGTTATAATGATCAAGATGATGAGAATGCCTGCTATTAAGCCAAAAATGATCCCCAATACTATCACTCCACTGCCCCTAAAATAAGAAAAGAAATAGACTTGTATGATGTGTATATTAAGAGCTAAAGTAAATGGTACAGAACATACAATAGATACATCCCTTAATGACATAAGCCTGCATTTAACAGTACTTTTAAAAAGATGGCTACGTTATAGGTTATTAAAAAAATAATTTCTTTATAATTCAAGAGTAAACAGTCGACAGTATCATGGCTCGTAATCCAAATGTAAAAAAAAAATAGATAACCTACTTTGGACAATCGTCGTCATCATCGTCGCAGTCGTCATCACTGTAAACTGAACCTGGAGAGAGTAAGAAAAAAATGGTTTAAATGCATGTACAAGTGCTGACTCTGATATACGTTAATACGTTGTTTCTCATCATTTTGCTGCACAGTCAACATTGGATTGATTGATTTGTGTTAAATTTGCTACGTTTGGTATATTTATGAAAAAGAGGACATCGCGGGTGTGACCGATAGGAGATATTTACTCTTTCATGGCATCTTATCCCACTTCTGATGTTTAAGAGGTGTTCTGCCTCAGATTTATATAGTTTCGATGGACTATTGAGCTTGAACACTGTTCGTTATCTTAATATATTTATACTGAGTTTTCTTTAATAGCCAACCTTCAGCTGAAGTCTCAAGTAAGTTTTTTTTTTTTTTACAAAAATGTAGATGGATGTCTGGTGTCTGTATGTTGTGTGTCGTCTTTAAACTTGACACATTTTTTTAATTGTATCCAAGAACCATTGGGCCTTATGCCAAACTTGCAATAGAATTTTTGGGCGAAGGATATTCAAGTTTGGTCAAATAATCGTTGAAAAAGTGACTCAATGGAAGGGGCCAAAAATAGCGATCAAAATTTTACGTAGGAATGCTTATATATGATAGGACTTTTAATCTCCTAGAACAGCAAAGGTAAGGTACAGTATGGCTTGTGGCAACGCACTTTGAAAAAAATTTTCAAAGTGCGTAATTTTTGGGACAAAATCAACGCACTTTGAAAATTTTTTTTCAAAGTGCGTTAAATTTTGGACCAACTCAACGCACTTTGAAAAAAAAAATTTCAAAGTGCGTTAAGAATCTACATCAATATATTTTACCATGGAGACACTTAACGCACTTTGAAAAAAAAAATCATATTTTAGTCATGGAAAGATTTTATTTGTTATTTATCTTTCAAAAAACTATGCCTAAACCTAACCTCAAAAATGAATTGATTTACTCCCGTCGAAAAGAGGAGAAGAAGGGTATAAGATCCCTCAGTCTAAAATCTTTATCTTTCCAATACATAGGTGTCGGTAACAAACGGGGGAGGGGAGCAATAAACCTAGAAAGGGTACGCTGCATTGTTACAACGCACTTTGAAAAATTACGCACTTTGAAAAAATTTTTCAAAGTGCGTTAAAATTTGGGACCAAGCTAACGCACTTTGAAAAAAAAAATTTTTTTTCAAAGTGCGTTAATATCGACCATATTAGCGCACTTTGAAAAAATGTAAAGATTGATCAATATTCCTTCAAATAATCAGTATGATAAATAACAGATCCTGGTTTAATAAATTTTTTATGATAACGTCACTGTAGGACCTGAGATATTGACGTTTTAAATATTTAAAGTTTTGATAAAATAAAAGGGAAAATTAAAGGGTCTTGAAAAAAAGAGTGACGATTGTTTAAGTTCACTAATTCGTTTCTTCTTTTTTTTTTAATTCTAGTCTTTGATAAGTAGATGTTAAAGGTCTATAGGGGGCACTAACAAAGGACAGCTTCAAGCAACTTATCATTTATCATAATAAAAAGGGGCCAATTTGATTGTTCAACACTATGAAAATTCTTTCTCTCTCATACGTTTTACTGTACTTAAAAAATTATAGTTTTCATCTGTTTTGATTAACTCATTTATTATTGAAAGTTTTCAAAGTCATACCAGTTAGGTAAATACATAATTATATGAATGCTTTGAGTATATCATAGACATCGAGACTGGGCGAAGGACCAGGGGAGGGGATGGGGGCTAATCCCCTCCTCTTATTTTGGAAAGATATATACATCGTATAAACATTGAAAATGCAGCATACCCTTTCTAGGTTTATTGCTCCCCTACCCCGTTTGTTACCGACACCTATGTATTGGAAAGATAAAGATTTGGACTTAGGGATCTTATACCCTTCTTCTCCTCTTTTTGACGGGAGTAAATCAATTCATTTTTGAGGTTAGGGTTAGGCTTAGTTTTTTGAAAGAAAAATAACAAATAAAATCTTTCTATGAATAAAATATGATTTTTTTTTCAAAGTGCGTTAAGTGTCTCCATGGTAAAATATATTGATGTAGACTCTTAACGCACTTTGAAAAAATTTTTCAAAGTGCGTTGATTTGGTCCCAAATTTAACGCACTTTGAAAAAAATTTTCAAAGTGCGTTGATTTTGTCCCAAAAATTACGCACTTTGAAAAAATTTTTCAAAGTGCGTAATTTTTTCAAAGTGCGTTGCCACACTGCATTTTCAATGCTTATACGATGTATATATCTTTCCAAAATAATGTTTTAATCATACCGATTATTTGAAGGAATATTGATCAATCTTTACATTTTTTTCAAAGTGCGTTAATATGGTCGATATTAACGCACTTTGAAAAAAAAATATTTTTTTCAAAGTGCGTTAGCTTGGTCCCAAATTTTAACGCACTTTGAAAAATTTTTTCAAAGTGCGTAATTTTTCACAGTGCGTTGTAACAATGGTTGTATATATTTATATAAAAGGTCCCTATAGGTAGCGTAGATTTCATTACGCGTTGGGCCGATGATGGGTGAAATTTACATGATGGATACACAGGAAAATTCTTTACAAACTTTAATTCTAGATAACAGCAAAATTATAGTTATTCATATTACAAACATTTATTTTAAATGTAAAGCATCTTAAGATATAGAATAAATTCAATTTTGTGCAAAGCATGAACCTTATTGAAAAAGGTGATGTAGAAAGGAATTTTTCAAAATTGTTAATAATTACTGAAAAAAAAACATGGAAGCATCCTCAGTTAGACTCAGTGTATAGATCTAGTACGTTGAAGCATGACCCCTCTGGTGGATATGATTGGATCATATACTAGTATACAATTTGGAGAGAGAGAGATAGAGAGGTGGGGTCGAGGGTTGATGATATTAAGTTTTTGAGGGTAAGCTTATCTCTGCTTTTCTCTAGCAAAAATACTCAAGTGAGTAATGTAGCCTATATTTTTTTTTTTTCTAAATATAACCTTTGTTAGAAAATTTAAAGTCGAAGAAACTCGAATATTTATGTATTTTAAAAAATTCACTCCCATCATTGGTATACCAATTCTTTTTAAAATTGTAATATTATTAGTAATTTTTTTTCAAGGACTGGCAAATTATCTTGGATATGTGTACTTTGTACGAGGTTCTTTCAAAACTAATTTTAAGCAAATAGTTTTTTTTTTTAAGTTACTGTGATATTTTGATAAATATATTTAAGTAGTCAAATCAAATATCTTCAAGTGCAAAATTTTAAATTATTAGCAAGTTTGAATTTTATTTCATTAGAATAAAAAATAGATATATGTAACTTTTACTTTCACAGCCATAAACTCTATTTACTTATAACATTCATATACGAAAATGGAAAGTTATAAAATGTGCAATTTTTATTTTTAATTCATATTATGGATTTCACGGGATATTTTAAACAGAAATTATAAATAACATGCAGCTCACAACAACATTAGTATTGTCTGTCTTTAAAAATAGTGTAAGAAATTGTAAATAACAATATGAATCGTGTTCTTGTTTGACTGATCAGTACAGATTTATGAGTCTTAGAGATAGGAAGAAATTTACAATATACTTATATAGGCAATAAACAAAGGTCACTCCACTTCACGTCGTACATGTCGTCATTATAAATGATGCCATGCAGGTCAGTTGATAACCACATTTTAAGAAAATGAATTTCTCAGGAAAAAAGAAAGGAAGCAAAGTTGACGAATAGTTTGTATAGGCCTTCTGTTCAAAACATATTTCACTGTTGTTGTTTTTTTTTATTTCTTTTTCTTATTCTCCCCCAAATTGACACTTTGATACATATATATTTTTTATTTATTAAAAAAAATTGATATCCTCGATTTAAAATTCTTCAATCTTTTTTTTTCTCTCTTTTTAAAATTATGGATTAGTTTATTTATATTATTGATTAATTTTATTCTCTAAGTATTCTGTTTTTTGTATTTGTATTTGTATCACAGGCACTTGTTTCGGTAATATTTTTAACTCATAGTATAATAATAACAGTGTTATTATTACACTTTGGATTAAAAATTTATTACCGAAACAAGTGCTTGTGTTTTGTATATATGTCTTATGATCTAATAAGACAAATACCATGGCTAAATGTTTCAACTGAATAATATCGCCAACTTTATATAGCTCATAGCACCTTCCATTTTCATTAGATACATGTATACTCTAACGTCTATAAAGGAACAATTATATTTAAACATTTCTTCATTTTTATAAAAATATTGTCGGCTCCTATATTACTCAATACCATTCCTTATATTACTCAATACCTTTCATACTTAACTTTTATTTCGATTTCTATGTACAATGCAATAATTGATAGTTCTAAAATAGATTTGGTGATAGATCTATTACTTATTTCATACCCTTCAAATGAATGAAATTGGTAGGTATTTAGTTTTGGAAACAATTAGAAGTAGAATATATTTAAGTATAGTTAATTCGGTGTAGCAGTTGCAATGGAGAAAGCTGCGTATATTGTCTTACTGAAATCTTGACAACTTTATGTTTAGACGAACATCAATTTCAAAGCATTTACTTTGATTTTACAGACCCATAGTACACTGGAGAAGGACATGTTGATCACCCCCCCCCCCACATCCTCCTCCAATTTTGTTGCTGTACCCTCGAACACTGGCAACTTGTTATGTATTAGAACTGCCCCCCCCCCCCCCCGCTGAACACACACCTTCATCATCAAAAACACACCATCTCAACCAAAAACACCCTTACACACAAATGAAATAAAATTGTCGACGTTGGTGCAGTTTAGTTAAACTCCCTCTCTTTTAGTTATATGGAGAACACATGAAATATAACGTGAGCTAAGTGACTAGGAACCAAAGTAGATTTACATGTATACTGAAATACATTGTAATGAATAGTGCTTATAATATTAACTTTTAAAATTTTCATTTTTAACAGCTCTTATGTATATGATTGGATATTTTCTGTAAGATAATAAAATGCGGATTTCATATCATAATATCCATTGTTGGTGATGCAAATGTGCTGTGGATTACCAATAGGTTTCAACTCTTAAAATTTAAGAACGAAAGCTATGGTAAACACATATAGAACAATCATTTTGATGATTTTAGAACTACACATGTGCAAGTATACTTACTTATAAAGCTAAAGAAGAGGGTCGCTTGTAAAGACAATATCCAATGTGAGGAATCCATGATTCCTGTTAACTACAGTGTAGTCCTAAGACTGCGCAAAAGCACTTTCTGATTCGGAAATATTTAAAGGTCTGTCAAATATTGGCGAAACGCCGTGGTTCGATTATTTTTTTTTCGATCATACACCTAAATATGTATTGATCGGCCATGGATAATTGGTTTAAATACCCGTGGTTAATGTGTATCTCTCGATCGAACCACTTTCGGTAGAATTATTATTCTGTCACGATTGGAGAAAGGACAAGCTTCGAAAAAAAAAATCTACAGTTTAAATAAAGGATGAACAATAATACAATCATATACAAATTGAATGATTGTACTTGGTTTTTATTATAGAAATAGCTAATTTGAACAAAATGTTCTCGGATTAAATTTTGTACCTAAAATTAATCAGTAAGAGTTTTAAGAAAGTGAGTCTATGGATTTATTAGATTAAGAGAAAAAAAAGAAAGTATTATTCCTCCAGAGCAAAACAAACAAAGAATATTCAGTAATCAAAATATCAATAATTATGACATTAAATGTAAAGCGATGTAATTTCATTAATTTTCCTGTAAGGTTTGACTGTAAGGTGGCGGATCCTCTTTGGGAACAGGGCGCGGTGGGTTATACTGTTGATTAGTGTGTGTCTCTGTCTGTGCCCCACTCTGATCCCCTGACAAACTGTACTGATATGTAGAACCATAAACATTGTGTGGGAACACTGAAGCCCTCGGCGACAATCTTGAGGTTCCCTGTCCAATGTCTTCGGTCTGCGAGGCCGTCTCTGTCAGCTCACCAAGGCTTCGGGTCGTCCTTGAACCTAGAATTTATTTGAATATTTTTTTTATTTTCAATAATGAAATTTAAGTTTCAAATTTATATAAAAAATGTCATTTAATATGCTTTTGATTCAAAGTTAAAAAAAACATCAAGGTCATGTAGTTTGAATTGTATTTGAGAACTGTCATGTTTAAAACACTCACACAGTATTAACCAACAACATAAAGGTCCCCTAGAAGTACGTTTTCTAAAATAATAAAGTATACACAAAAGCGCATGAAAAAATTTTGTTCAGTAGCTCACTTATTAATGATCTGCGTCGTTCAGTCTTTCTCAAATAATTGCAAAAGACTGAAATTCCCACCACTGCAACCAAGAATATCAATCCGAGCACTCCGAGGAAATAAAAAGCATCTCGTGACGTAATTGAAGATCTGTATTTCTCATCACAACAAAACTGATTTCCAGAACTTCCACAACATGTGCCATTTCCAGGGCAATAGAATGTTCCACGATATCTATCGTAACACATAAACATCTTTTTTTTTCAAAATGAAGTTGTCCGTTTATTACGTCATACATAAAATACGACGTCAAAGTAAAGCAGCAAAATTCGCATAAATTTCATACATAAAAAATTAATAAGTACAATGTACATAAATATTTACATTCGCTGTGTTTTTCTACTAAGCCAACTGTGAAATTAATTTGAATACTATTTTCGTGTATATACTCACGCTTAGAAATATACATAGAGAAACTCGTGCTAACTGACGTCACAATAAAGCTACAGCGACGTTAGAAAAAGGCAAAGAAACACTGAGTATATTTTAAGTGCTTTCAAACGGTTATGAAAATGTAAATATAAGGAATGTTTTCAAGTTTAGTGTGAATTATTGGTGTGCAAATCACACAGACTTGCAAGCAGGCATATTTTTCATGAAGCACTAGCTGGAAAACATTCTTTAATTAAACTCAAATTGAAATTCTTAATCATTTTTTTTTAAATTCTGCTTTAATTTAAAGTAATCTATTAGAACCCGCAGGTAATTTTTAAGTCAGTATATGAAACAGCTGTGTTTCTGTATATACACTCAAATATTTTTAATCCGTTTAAAACTGAATATTGAATATGTATTCAGCTTTTAGAAGAAAAAAAAATATTATTTAAAAAAAATGGGAAAAGCATGTCGCTAAACCTGGCTGCATATTGCATGTGAGTGTTAAACAGTCATACAGTACGTTTCAGAAATATATACTCAGTACTCAGTAGTTACTTTTGGAAAATATATATTTGCAAACAGTAAGAATAAAATGCTTGATAAATAAACGTCGCGACCAATCTAACATGTATTATATCAAATTTATATTTTGTTTAAGTGAAAGACTTCATTGTGCACTGTCCTTGAATTTTACGATAGTTATGTACAAAAGTAATATATTAAGTCATGTGGCACCTTCTTTGGCGTTTTGAGAAATTTCAATTAGAAACAATATAAAATGGAGAACATACGTGTATGATCCAGGAAAACTTTCTCCTGTTTTCTTTTGTCCTCCTCGTAGGGCAATTGAGAGCAGAAAGAGTTATCTTTCTTTTAATACAATTGTGTCAATATGAACTTAAATCAAGATGATTTTGCATTTCAAAGCACAAACATAGAAATTATACCAAACTTTTAATACAACTGTGTCAAAAATAAGGTAATTTTCAAAGTACAAAGTTAACATATAAACATCAAACTTAAAACTTCCGATCATCCATTTACATTCTTAAAAATAATCTTTGAATGACTGGAAAAAGTAGGGGTTTTTTGTAAAAAAAAAAAAAAAAAAAAAAAAAAATTAAAAAAAATAAATAATAATAAAAAAAATTAACAGCAAAATCATGAAAATATTCAGTCATATCACGTATGTACAGCACGATTTTTTTAAACGTATAAATTAATACATTATTTGTTTTATAAATCATTTCAAAAACCTTCACAATTTTGTGTATGTACTCCAATGATACAAAAATTGCCTAGGATGCGGTCATTTACATGCTATTATACAATAGGTATGCATCGTAATTTTGATGCTGCATGTTTCTCAAAAGAAGTTATCGCGTGACTTGGCGGTGGGAGCGACAACTGACGCAGTCGCTGGTGTATCTTCTGAGTGAGCGGTGTGTTTGGGGCTGCATAGAAGAATTCCAGGTGAGGGCTGATCCGGGTCCCCTATCATCTCCGCTTCTTGAGGGGTTAGAATTAAACGATGTGGAAACATTGTAACATGGTACCTCTCATTGTCAGCTGAAAGTCTTCGCACACCTAGCGAAATAATGCACAATTTTCATTAATATACATTTATAATCATTTTTTTGTTTTAGTTTTTCGATTATCAGTTCGATGATTTGGTTCTTATCCTACTAAATAAGTAAATTTTAAATTATTCGAACATGACCATCCATGTAATCTCTTACTCACAGGTTTTCGACAAACATAACAAGGTTGGACGTTAAATTAAAGCGATAGAGGCATCAATTCTTACCTACGACTCTGGTAGCACTGCCCGGTATAGGCCGCTGTTTTTTGAACAGACATCGAAGCAGCAGCACAATCATAGCCAGCACAAATATCAGCAAGCACAGCACAATCACTGTCACTAGAAACGTCGACATCGACCCTCGATCCCTGTCCAAGGTGAGGTGCAGATCAAAGAACTTAGATCAATATGTACAGAGTCCTGTTTACATCTTAGTTTGTAACGTAATTTTAAAAAAGCGTTTGCTTTACGTAAGGCAGGCGTTTTTTTCCGTTGTATGACGTATTTCTACGTCAGTCAATAATGCAGACGTTTCGCGGGAAAATTCAAATACACTTGTATCAAAGAAAACGAATAGCACAATCCTTCAGAAGTTTCGTCACAAGCTGCCCAGTGAGCGATTTCTTTCAGTGATGTCGCTTTAGATCCGCCTCAATATTTTTTTAATGCGGATTTATCTCGGAAATTAAACATACATGTATGCAAAAAAATATTTTCTCCTTAAATTTGTATTTTCTCGCAGTTTTACTCTTTTAAGCATTATAGTTTTCTAGCAGCAGTGAAATACCAACTATTTGTTTCGTTTCCAAATGGGCTGCAGATTGTCGAACATTCTAACTAGCGGTTCCTTCACTTTTGTGTGATAAAAGAATCAACAGTCCGACCCGTCTGCGAATCAACGATTTTCCACAAACCAGAACAATTTTTTTAAGTTTGCAAGTTAGTTGCATCGATCTATAACAGGCTATCCAAATGACAGAAAAACAATATTTCTCAAAAAACAACCTAGTATTTTTTTCCAATACAATTTATCACCCGTCATTGTAAATAAAAAGTAAGGCGTGCCGGCGGAGCGATAACCTTGGATACTGTATTACAGGGTTATTTTCGCCCCGTCTTATTTTCGCCCTTTCACACATGCAAACAATTTTGCTCCGTTTTAAATTCGCCCAGTCATAGTTTTTTTTAAAGAAATATTACTGTATTCTTTGAATTCGCCCCGTTTTAAATTTGCCCAAATGAGGGTAGGGCGAAAGGGGCGAAAATAAACGGAGGCGAAAATTTCCCTGTATACAGTAGTTTTCCCACTTTGTATGTCATTTATGCTAAATACTTTTAGAAATACTGAAAAAAAATACTGCATAAATATCATAAAATATTTTTTTAAATATATAGGTCATGTAAACAATTTTTATGTTCCCCAAACGAAGTTTGGGAACATATTGTTTTTACTTTTTCTGAATTTTTCTTTGTTCTCCGGTACTTTTTTGTCCGCGAGTGTTCTCGTAAACTACTCATCCGATCTAGGTGAAACCTTTTTAGGGTCACTAGGTATGTTATGTAGATGTGCGGAACGAAGGTCATTTTGCGTGCACGTGCGTGCGTGTGCGCACACGTGTAACACGTGAAATGACCAATATAATAGATATAGCCGTAACTTTTTAAATTTTGGATGAAATGCTTTGAAACTCATAATATAAGGACATATTAGTAGTATAGACATGATGACATGGTCAAAATAGCAAGATCTCACGCGCATACACGTGCGCTTCGCTCCGATTGGCTGAAACTAAAAGTCTAAATATCTTTTTTGTTTTCTGACAAAATCCTTTGAAATTTTGAACATAGCCATACATTATGAAGATCTACAGCATGATATATAAGAATAATCATGAACACACGCACATGCACGTGTGCTGCAATCTGATTGGCTAAAACTTTAAATGCCTACAACTTTCTTGGTTCTCAATAATACAGGGTGAAATTTCGAATATGAATAGATATAATGAATGCCTACATTATACTACTATCAAAAGTAAATGCAAGAACGTGCATGCACATGCACCCGCACACAATGCATTAAACGACAGTATACTTGAGTTTGTGATGTTCATGCAGAATTAAGAACTTCTAAATGTCAAGACATGTAACATACTGAAGCATGCAGATCTTTTGACCCTTGACCTTGAAACTTAGGTCAAGGTCACCGGTAACCTGAATAAAATGTTGATATTAGCTATATACCAAAATCAACTTGACCTATGAACTTGAAATCGAACTTAACCTTTGTCCTTGACCTAAGGGTAAAAAGAAACATGGAGTACATGTACATGTATCTAGAAACACCTTTCAGAGTTTACTTCGGTTGGCAGGATAGAAGTTAAAGAGGTGGTGGTTTTTAATGACCTTGACCTTTCATCCAAATGTCACAATCAATCTTAAGTTCTTGGAGTAAGATACAAGATTCAACTCCAACGTTAAATAGGTTTACAATAAAAGTAACCCCCCCCTCCCCCCGCAACAACCAAACAAATCAAATTAATGGCAACGTAGAGAATCGCTGTTAAACTCAAATAACACCTCGGACCCACATGAAATTTCAGGAAAACTGCAGAAAAGAGCTCGAGGAAAGTGTATTAAAATATTTGATTTGAGTTTCCAAAGTATTTAGAAATTATTAATTTATACGGAAAAAATTACAAATCCTGTCGTGTTTAAAATTAAAGTGCAGATGAACAAATTGGTATATAAGCCTTTTATAGCCTATTTATTCAGATGTCGTTAATAGCATTCAATTCTACTGATTTGAAATAATATTTTAATACAAAGCATCCTTTGTTTATTTTACCTTTGAAATTTATTTGAATTTTTTTTTAGAATTACGCAATCCCCAGAAACAGCGATTTTCGGTAAATTAAAAATCAATATACAGGTACGCTCCTTCGTAAAATAATCAATCAAAATAATATTTGCATTCATGAAAAAAATATTAATAAGAAAGTGTTAAACAATATTGGTCACATTAGCTGACACGAATGTCATTTTAAACAACTCTGGTAAACCCCAGAAAGTAGCCCCCTATGCATTGGAAAAAATGAATAGTTCCGGTCAAAAACCTTTATATATTTATTTACAAAGTATATAAAATTTACTAGGCACAGGTACCAGCGTTGTCAAAATGGCCTGAGAGGAAATATTAAAAAAATTCCGAACAGAAAGGAAAATCCCTTTTCCATGTATGGAACTACTATCGAATAAGTTCATTTTGATTGGTAAGCTATCTGTGTGTTACCCTTAGTCGACTTTAACCCTGCCTTGTCGTCGGAATCAAACCAACTTTGAGCCCGAGGTTAAAAAAGTAGAGAAATAAAATGTGAATCGATATATTAAAAAATGACATATGCTTGAAAAATGGTAACTTTATATATGTATTTTTCTCTTTGATTCGCGGGATAGAAAGATATGTTAATCGCTTAACCAACATGCCATAATCATCTTGCATATCTATGTACATGTACGTGTGCGCGCATGCAAAACGTTAAACGATATATAGTTGATAGTTGATATCATTGTAACTTTTGTATTCTTGAATGAAATCCTTGGATACATAGCATATTTATAAAAGGTCTAAGAGGAATAAGGCACGAAAAGGGACATGGGGAGCGTTTGGGGAACATCTGTAACGGTCCCCGTTACAATTAGCACTAGTTTCTCATTTATATTAGGACTTTCAAATTTAATTTGCACTTATCCAACTGCAAATCCGACATACAGAGACTTTTATTATTTTTATTGGTCGTATCCTATCAATGCATTTACAATTTCACACCTAGTCTAAATATAACGAAAAAAAAATTCCCTCTTGTTATTTGAAGTCCATTGATCAGCAATAAAGTCTATTCCTTAATTGCTTCTAAAGGCAATTGCATCAACCTTTAGTGTGACCATTATGTAGCAACCCTTCCAGATTATGAAAATTTACTGAATCAAGTGGAGGGGGGGGGGGCAAAAACACCTGTGACGATTAAAACTTAATAAGAAAATTCTTTATTTTTATTGAAAAATCAATTACAATTTCTAGCAGTTATTCATTTATTGTTGTAAAGCTGCGATCTTGGTGGAAGCGAGGGAGGGCTGTATTCAAAAGGCGGCGGAACATGACCCGGTAGTAAAGCGACCTCTGGTGGAACATTGGATGGTCTGTCTGCTTCCGGTGTTCCAACCACTTGCTCGTATCTTGGCGGTGCTGTCGACGGTAAAGGGTGTCTTTGTGGTGGATAATGCGTAGTAGTGTTTTGCATAGATTGAAATGTATGATGTTGCTCAAAGTTTGGAGAACCTGTGTGCGGTAATCCACTCCCGTGCGGAGAATAGCTTTGTGGGTGTTGTTGGTAAGGTTGTCCAGGGTGTTGTGGGTTAGAGATGAATACCTGTCCTTGCGCAGCTCGACCCCCCATCCCTGCTGTCTGTGGGGGCACGATGTGACGATGTGGATGCACAGTTTTAGGGTAGATTTGATTTTGAACTCCATGTGCACCAGTACCTGGCGAAAAATAATTACAGATTTATCAAATATATACTACAGTCTGGTATTTGACTGGGCAATTTCAAGTACTGAAGTAGTCAATATTGTTTTTTGAATGTAAAAGTGATATTAAACTCATTTTTCTTACCCACAACTCTTCCAGGTAAGGTTTGTTTCTTGCACAGACATCGTATCACAGTTAAAACAGAACAAAACACAAAAATCAGGACACCAATCACAATAAAGGCTATCACAAATCCCGGAGGTGAATCTACCCCGCTATCCCCGCAACAATACTCGTTTGGAATAATTCCACAGCATATCTGTTCTAGTTCGCAATATATTCCACTGTTATATGAATTCCAGCAATAAGCTTTGGTATGCACCATTATAAAACATATGGGTTGTTTATTGTGTATGACGTCATAGACACGTATGTTAGCCGACGTACTGAAAGAAGTAACTTTTGGCGGAATTTTTTTTCTAAATAATCATATAATTATATAAATTATGCTTTCCTCCCATATACTCTTAATTCAGTTAAAAATTACTAGATTTTATTTACTTAATCTTATGGCAAGAATCTAATTATTCCATCAAGCTTTTTTTTTAATAATAAAATTTCCTTTTGACAAAAAACCCACTCGGCAAATTAAGATTTAAAAAAAAAACACTGTGAACATTTCCATTTTATACTTGAATGTACCAGTTGCACTGTCAAACATCAGGAAAAAGTATATTATTGAATACTACTTTACTAGACCAAATATACTTAAATTTTCTCTACTGATGACAAAACAAGATGCTATGTCACTTATAAAACTCTGTATGTTTATATTAAAAATATATGAATTAGTCTGTCCTCCATAATTTCTTCCCCTCACTTATTTCATTATTAGGTGTATCATACGTGTTTTTTCTCTTTTTTCTATTTTCTTTTTCTCCCATTTTATTTTCTGATTATGTATATCATATATATGTTGTTACAAACATTTTTCATTGCCCTGGTTTTGAGAGAATAAATGAACTTAAACTTGTACATAAATCGCAAAATAGACCCCCGGTCATCAACAGAATGAGCAGATCATTGGACCCCAGAGGGCAAAAGAGAGGGGGCAGGAACATCGTGACGAAGGACAGTTAAAAGTGATATGAAAGCCAGCCCGACCCCATCACCGCTCTTTGTGGAGCCACGTTGTGACGTCTTACATTCACGATTGTTGTTTGGAACTGATAATAAAGGGAAACTCTGCAAGAACCTGTTATGCCAATAACCCGTTTGTTAAAAAGATTTAGCATTTGAATAGGAAAATTTCCAGATTGTAACATTTTAAAATCTAAGTTAATGTGACCATTTTTTTTCTTACGCACAATTCTACGTAATGGTTGTTTGATGCATATAATCGAAGCACAATTTACAACGATACCAAATACAAAAGACATCGAAACAAGTGCAATAGAAGCTACATGTATGATAAGTCCAGGAGGTGATGATCCCCACCACCACTGTCCCGCAACAATTCTTATTGGGAAAAGATCTACAGCATAGCTCATCTAGTTGGTAATGTATTCCACAGCTTATAAAATGTGTGGGACGTCACAAACACGTCTTTCATACGACAGTGGGTAAGTCTTAGCGGAGAAAAAAAATCAATGCTTTCTACCCAAATATTCGGTATAACTTTAACAAAACAAATTATTTTAAATTATTATATTTTATTTGCATTATCATATACCATTATTTTAAAAATTTAATTAATCCAGTAAATATTAATACACTAAGTTCATATTTTGTACCATTCGACAAGAAAAACAAGCCGAAATAAATCTTTCGCAAATATAAAACGTTACAAATGTGCACATAAATAAATCCATAGAAACCAATAAATGTGTTTTATACCATTTCATAAAGGTTAAAAAAATGAGTAAAAGACCTTGTCTAATTTATACCGTGTAATTTTATTTTACAAATAAATGCAATTTTAAATCTATGACGTCATAACGTGATCTGACATGATGTGATCCATCTAAAAGAATCAAAAGTACTCAGAAGTACAGAGAGCCGGGCTCATTTACAGAGCAGAATCATTATGAATTTCTTACATGAATCATACGTTTATGTTGTATTAACAGATAAAAAAAAAAGAATATCAGATTTAAAATTCTGATGAAAAAATCATTTTAAATCTATCAATATAAATAATAAGACACTGACAGTGAGTTGCTATCCTAATACCACGGTCCGATTTTGTCAGAATCAGAATTAATCTGGTACCGCAACTGAAAATAAACAAACAGGCCATGCAGTCTGGTTCCCTCTCCTGCTTTTCTTCGTATGTGTAGAGAACTAAGATACATGTAACATTGATTATCAAAACTCCTTACACCAATGAACTATGTTCTTTGACTTAAGACTGAAGTTTTCAAAGGTACTAAATATGTTTATTTATATCTATTAGATAAAACT